GGAGGAGGAGGAGGAGGAGGAGGAGGAGGAGGAGGAGGAGGAGGAGGAGAAAGAGGAGGAGAAGGAAGAGGAGAAGGAGGAGGAGGAGAAAGAGGAGGAGAAGGAGGACCTCCCGATCCTCCTTTCTCCCCCGTCCTACCCATGGTAGCGATGGCGGGACATTGGCCCATCATGCGGCGTTGCAGGACTGAGGGTGGATCCGGTTGAGGGAAGGAATTACAGCAACACTCCTTGAAGACCCCTTGGAGGCCCAAACTTGGAAGATCCGAAACCAGCGGACATTTGGGGGGGAGGGGGGGAGTTAAAGCAGTATGTTCTGCATGAGTGTTGCTTAATTGTTTCCGACACTTGTAGGGATTGGCTTAAGTCGAAGAAGAAAAGACAGCATGAACATGAACTGTTGGCGCTCCGCGCGGATTTCTTGGATCCGCGCTGGGCCCCCCCATAAAATAAACTTTGGCGCTCCGCGCGGATTTCTTGGATCCGCGCTGGGCCCCACCCGGCGGCGACCGACTCCGGCACCGCCCCTGGCGCGAAGAAGAAAAGACAGCATGAACATGAACTGTTGGCGCTCCGCGCGGATTTCTTGGATCCGCGCTGGGCCCCCCCATAAAATAAACTTTGGCGCTCCGCGCGGATTTCTTGGATCCGCGCTGGGCCCCACCCGGCGGCGACCGACTCCGGCACCGCCCCTGGCGCGCTCCGCGCGCCAGGGAGGGGGGGTCCAGCGCAGATCCAAGAAGTCCGCGCGGAGCGCCAAAAGTTGATGTTTATGCAGTTGTTCTTCTTCTATGGGTGCCGATCAGACGTCTGCGCATGTCCCTCCCTATGCCCCCTTCCGGTCAAGATCTTGGTGTGCGATTCTCCGCCGCGTCGGTGGGCATGGATCGAGTCTTGTTCTTCTCCGAATCACCCCTACCCTGGACTGGAGCTGCTTCTCCAGCTGCAGGGGCATCGTATTGAGGTGGCCTCGGTGCATCAGGCTGTGTTGAGGGGCAGCAGAGTAGCCATGTGCACGTCTTGCGGGGGCTACGCTTGGGGGGGAGTTCTGGGCCTTACAAAGCCAGACCTCGACTCGACTCCAGCCTTGGAGGGGCAGCGGAACGGGGCGGCCAAAGGGCAGTTGTCTGGCCGGGCCCCCGCAGTGCGAGGGGGTGGGGGATCAGAACCCGTGTGGAGGCCACTGGGCCACCGGGCAGCATTTGGCTCGTCTGGTCTTTCGCAGGGCGCCGAATCTCGGCTCTCGGGGGCCTGAGAGGTCGAGCTCCAGGCTGGCCTGGGGGTTGCGTTCGCTCGGGTCGCTCTGAGCTTCTGGCCAGGTCTGGGCTGGCCCCAAGCGCCACTCGGATCATGGGCGACTTGTGCTGAGCGCCCGGAGACTTTGCGTCGGAAAGCGAGCGAAGCGACCGGCGCTGAGGCTTCAGACTCGTCGGAGCAGCTGTAGTTAAGTCTCCGTAGTTCGGTTCGTTTAGGCTCGCGTGGCATTGACATGCGTTGCCAAACCAGTGAAAAAGGGAAGCAAAGATGAAAAGCAGGGGGAGGAGGAGAGCGATGATGTCGAAGAGGAGGAGAAGGAGGAGGAGGAGGAGGAGGAGGAGGAGGAGGAGGAGAAGGGTGAGGCGGGGAGGAGGATGAGGATGGAGACGGCGAAGCGGATCAGGAAGAGGATGAGCAAGTGCAAAATGGGTAGGACGAAGAAGAGGGCGACGACAAGGATCAGGCCGAGGACCATGAAGCGGGGGACGGGGGTACGAGGGTAACGACAAGTACGATGACGGGGGCGAAGGGGAAGATGAAAAAGGAGGAAGAGGACTATGATGATGAGCAAGAGGGAGGTTGAGGTGGTGGGGGATGTGAGGTAAATTGCGAGCAGGAAAAGGATAACGAGGAGGAGGAGGAGGAGGATGAGGAGGCGGAGGAGGAGGAGGAGGAGCGGGAGGAAGAAAAGGAGGATGGGGAGCAGGAGTAGGACGAGTGTAAGCCCAAGACTCATGCAGCATGTTGCAATACCTATACGACCACCCCCCGGGTGATAAGGAGGTTGGGGGTGGAGAGGGGGGGAACCATTATCTGACTCAATCGATCTCTCTATCGATCTCACTCAAAGGCAAACCACGGGACACCATGGGACACCACGGGACACTTGTCGATCTCACTATCGATCTCACTATCGATCTCACTCAACGGGACACCACGGGACACCACGGGACACCGCGGGACACCTCTCGATCTCACCATCGATCTCACTCAACGGGACACCACGGGACACCACGGGACACCTGTCGATCTCGCTATCGATCTCACTATCGATCTCACTCAACGGGACACCACGGGACACCTCGGGGCACCAAATCGATCTCACTATCGATCTCACTATCGATCTCAGTCAACGGGACATCACGGGCCACCACAAGAGACCACGGGACACCGGCGGGACACCGCGGGGCACCGGCCGCCAGAGGAGTTACATTTGGTCCGGCCGCGGCCCAGCCACAGGAGGATTTCGGGACACCGGCGGGACGCCGCGGGGCACCGGCCGCCAGAGGAGTTACATTTGGTCCAGCCGCGGCCCAGCCACAGGAGGATTTCCTCTCGCCCGCCCACGCAGCTTCGCCTCGCCCGCACGCACGCACGCACGGCACGACACGAATCCGAAACTGAAATCGATTTCCCGGTAGGGGGGGTCTCCGTTTCACGTCGGACTCACCCCCCAACCTCCGATACCCTCCCTCCTTCATAGGTCTCTACAAGGATTCATTTCCATTGACGGAACTGCCTCGTTGGAAGACAACCGTATGAAAATTTTGAACCGTGCTAGAATACCATTCCTGGGGCTTCATGCCGCGCATTAATGTTACTGTGGCGTCTTGACCATCTTGCATCGTGCCAGAACACCACGAATCAACTTGACTCTTGCGCCCTGACAGTCCTGCATCGTGCGGGCCAGAACATGATTTCTGGGACGCCAACTATATGAGTCCTTGACACTGCTGCAAACTCTTAAGACGAATGTGTGCGGCGCTCAGACGAGAGCCACGTTTTGGAAATGTACCGCCCTCCATCCGTGAAGCTCTTGCGAATTTTTAACGCATACGCGCGGCGTTATGGCGAGAGCCACATTTTGAAAGTGTACCGCCTCCGTACGTGAAGCTTTTGCAAATGCTACTCAAGGCGAGTGTTCGCGGTGATCATGCGAGAGCCACCTTTTGCAAACGGCCCGCCCTCCATCCGTGAAGCTCCTGCAAGCTTTTATGACGAAAGTGCGCGGCGCTAAAGCGAGGGCCACATTTTGAAGCCACCCCCCCTCCATCCACGAAGCTTGTTTCAACTTCTCAGCTTGAGGATCACACATGGTGAAGTCTGAAGCGAAAGGCCCCGGCCCGCCCTACGGACGTCTCGGGGTGCGACAGGGGAGTAATTGATAAGGAAAAGGGATGGACGAGGAGGAGGAGGAGGAGGAGGAGGAGGAGGAGCAACGGGCGCCAGAAGAGGACGAAGATGAGGTAGGAGGTGCTTGTCAGAGGAGTGGCCGAGGAGGGGACGGGGAAACTGGCAAGTTTTGGTGTCGCTCTGGATCCCAACCCAACGGGGATCGCCAGAGGCTTCTGGAAATCAGCTGGGTCCAAAACAGACGCTCCCCCCCGCCTTAATCAAAAACATCTCCAAACTTTGATACACGTTGGTCGAGGGCAAACAAAGGTCAGTCGGCACAAATCGGCGATCGACGCTTTATCCATACCCCTGCTGCTGCCTCCAACTCTGGCCGTCTGGGGGGGGGGGGCAGGGGGGGGACAAAAGCCTCGGCCCCCAGGTGCTGATGATGATGATGATGATGATGATGATGAGGAGGAGGAGGAGGAGGAGGAGGAGGAGGAGGAGTCCTTGCTCCCGAGCTCTGGCGCGGGCAGGGGCACCTGGTAAAACGCAGAGCGCCCCACCGTGGTCCGGCCAGCACCAGTTCTGACGGTTTCTTCCGCGGGCTGCCCGTGCACCAAGGCTTCGCTGATCGTCCCCTCCGCTTTCCTCCGCCCTGAGATTCGACGTTGCGAAACTTCAAACCAAAAACACATCGCGAACGAGGATCACGACTGGAGCCCGGGACCCCGATTCCCTGCGGCAGTTTCTCGAGCCAGATGGGTCAGTGCGAAAAAGACACGCAACGCCCAGGGCGAAAGCGCCCCGTGCGAGATGATTGTGACGCCGCCCGGTGGCGCCCTGTACGTAGCGCCGAGTATAGCGCCCGAAAATGGCGCCCAAGAGTGCCCCACGGCGCCGGATAAGGGAGTTGGCCTGGCGTCCGGCTTGCGCGCCGTTGGACGCGCTCGTGGGCGTCACGGGGGCGACGACAGCCTCCGCGAGTTGCTCTCCATCTCCGACAGCAAAAAAAGCCAGAAAGACGGTTGTCGGGCTGAGAGGATTGGGCTGGGAGACATGACCAGATCCATCAATATCACGGCGTATGTCAAAGATGCTTACTACACAGTCGTACCCTGTATCTTCCCGACCCCCTCCTCCCAGCACGACAGTGATCGTTTTCTCATTCATTGTTTTGCCGATCGACGCGGGCCCTCGCACCCCGCCCTCCCCCCTCCCACCCATGGAGTAGATCTTGGCTGTGTTAGGTAGGCACCTGTCTCAAGCAGTTGGAGTCTCACTCACAGGACGCACTGTTGCAAACAGTCGCACTGAGCAGAGGTCTGAAGCCAGACCGCCCCCCTCCCCTTCCCCCCCTTCCGCCAAATGTCGAAACGCCGAGTAAGAGAACGCTCACAGAACTGTCTTCCCCAAAGAGCACGGATCGCGCAGCCTCCGCGGGTTGCTCTCCATCGCTGACAGCAAAGAACCAGGAAGACAATCATCGGGTCGAGAGGATGGTGTTGGGAGAGACGACCAGATCACCCACGTCACTGCGTCTGTGGAGAGGGGGCTTACTGCACAGTCGTACCCCGCATCTTCCCGACCCCTCCTCCCAGCACGCTAGCCGCCTCCCCCAACGAGAGCACGGCTCGCGCAGCCGAGGCCACCAACCTCACCCTGGCCGCCGCCTGCCTGCGCCACTTCCTCGCCAAGGACAGCGGCGAGGCGAAGAGCGCCGGCGAGGCCGCGGCGGCCCCCGCCACGGACCGCCGGGGGAGGGCGCGCCCGCCTCCGCGCGCCGCCGCTCCTCCGCGAGCCCGCCGTCGTCCTCGAGAGCCGGGCACAGCAGAGAAGCACAGCCACAACGAAGGGCCCCCATCGGGGGAGGAGGAGGAGCAGGAGGAGGAGGAGGAGGAGGCATGAGGAGGAGGAGGGGGAGGGGGATGATGATGCTGATGCTGATGCTGATGCTGATGATGATGATGATGATGAGGAGGAGGAGGAGGAGGAGGAGGAGGAGGAGGATGATGATGATGATGATGATGATGACATGATGAATGATGACGATGATGATATGATATGAATGATGATGATGATGATGATGATGATGATGCTGATGCTGATGCTGATGCTGATGCTGATGCTGATGCTGATGCTGATGCTGATATGCTGATGTGGTGCTGGTGCTGGTGCTGTGCTGTGCTGATGCTGATGCTGATGCTGATGCTGATGCTGATGCTGATGAGGACGAGGAGGAGGAGGAGGAGGAGGAGGAGGAGGAGGAGGCGGAGAGGAGGAGGAGGAGGTGGAAATGGATCTAGGCGTAGTATAGTCCCATGGATCTAGGCGATGTCCACGTCGTATAGTCCACGTGGCAAGCATGTTCCACGTAGTACAGTCCCATGGATCTAGGCGATGGGCTGGGCGAGGAGCAGATGGTCCGTGGTAGAGGATGTACAGTGGGCAGGAGCAGGTGAGGAAGACGAGGAGAAGCAGGTAGGGGCTGCAGCAAGATGTCCACGCCAAGACCCTGCCCTCACTCCGGACACGCCCTGCTTGGGGCGATTTCGCAAGTCGGGCGGAAGTGGCCGCCCTACTGTTCAAGCTGCTTTAATGCCGACTTCCGCCCCACAGGCAGAGTGTATATGATAAGGGTGCACGATGGTAAGGATGCAAGGGCCTTGGAAGGCCATGTCGACACTGTTCGAATGGGGCTGGCCAGAGAAAGTTGCCAAGGATGTGCCGAAGGGGCAAGGATGCAAGGGTTGACTTGGAAAGTTGCTCATCCCTACTATGTGACTTGACTGTACTACGCCGTCGCGGTCTCCATCATGCCTTTGCTGGAAAACAGTGGCGTTCCTAAACTTTTGACCATCCTTGCAGGCGTGCGACCCCCTTTTCCCGTATAATACGTAGCCCCCCGCAGATGCGGAGAAGAGTGAGGGAGCGGTGGGGACGTCGGCAGTCTGCGAGACTCTGGAGAAGCCCGCCGCAGGCGCCAAAGTTTCACAAACTATACAACGAGCCCGCCGCAGGCGCCGATTTTTTCGTCAAACCAGTTTGGGTAGGTCGCGGCAGGGTCGCGGGTGGGTCGCTGTTGGGTCGCGGGTGGGTCGCTATTGGGTCGCGGGGTGGGTCGCGGAAGGGTCTCGGAGTGGGTCGCGGATGGGTCGCAGGGTGGGTCAGGGTGGATCACGGGTGAGTCGCGGGTGGGTCGCGGGTGGGTTGCGGGGTGGGTCGCGGGTGGGTCGCGGGGTGGGTCGCGGGTGGGTCGCGGGGTGGGTCGCGGGTGGGTCGCGGGTTGGGTCGCGGGGTGGGTCTCGGGGTGGGTCGCGTGTGGGGTCGCGGGTGAGTCGCGGGTGGGACGACGACGACGACAAACAAACAAACAAACAAACAAAGACAGACACAACAACAACAACAACAACAACAACATCAACAACAACAACGACAACGACAACGACAACGACAACAACAACAACAACAACAACAATTACTAGCACGTGGGGACACTCCGTTCTCACCAGTGCCAGGGTTTTCATACGACGCCCGCCAATACCCCCACTTTGTGGGGGGGCCGGTTCAAGCTCTACCACATTTCCAAACGACTCTTCGCCACCACCCACACCCAGCTTCCCGCCCTATGACGTTCGGACACTTCACTTCGTGGCCTGCGGACGACCGTGGCTACTACACTGGCGCATGGGTACAGTGACTTGTTGTGGTAACATTTTCTGGACGCTAGCTTAGTATACGACTTTTCCCCCTGTTCCAACACTGGACACCTGTACTGGTTTTTGGTGGTAACGTGTTCCTGACGCTAGAATAGGAAACCACGTTGGGTTTCCTACAAATCCGCAAGAGCGCGCGGGATGAAATTTTGACACTTTTTGTTTGTTTGAAAAACCATTGGTTTTTTGATGTTTTTATGTTAAAATCGCTACGAACACTAAGGTTTTGGAAGGATTTCGTCTTGCGCGCGCGAATGTCCACTGTACCTTATTTTTTGCAAGGGATTCTTGAAGTTTGGTTATGTTAGAACAAGAAATGTCCACTTTGCTTTATTTTTTGCAAGGGAAAGCGGGGGGGAACAAAACAACCGGATCCGGATCAACCCGTTTTGCCGGAGACTTCCTCACGAAAATGATGAAAACATGGCTGCGGCCTAGGCGCGGCGAGGGGGCCGTGCACCAGGGGTCCCAACAATAATTATTCTTTAGAAGTAATAATGTTCAACAACGACAACAACAACAGCAGCAGCAGCAACAGCAACATCAACAGCAACAACAACACCAACAACACCAACCGACACATAAACAACATCAACACCAACAACAACAATAGTCATTTTAATATTGTTCGCCTTTATCTGCTCGAGTGTCCAATAACGCGTATTTCCCAAACCCTCGATACCCGCCCTCTTCGTCTTCGATCGAACCCTTTTTGGGGTGTATACCTTTCTTCGCTGCAGGCCGGGCCCTGGCAAGCGGCGGGGCGGCCGCGGACCGTCGGCCTGGCCAGCGGCAGCGCTGATCGGCGGGGCGGACGCGGACCGTCGACCCGACCCCAGAGGGACGGACAGGGGACCGACCACGACGACGACGACGACGACGTCGACGACGACGGCGACGTCGACGACGACGGCGACGACGAGCGAAAGCGAGAGCGAGAGAGCACGACAGCAGGGCCACGAAGGACACGAAGTAGGCCACGAAGGGCGACAGCGGGGACACGAAGGGAATGCGTACAGGGCCACGAAGAGCGCGAACGAGCGGGGGCCACGAAGGGCAGAGAATGCGGGGCCACAGAAGGCAACGATGGGGCCATTGAGGGTAACAATTGGGCCACGTAGGACAGTGAGCGGGCCACGAACGGCGACAGCGGGGCCACGAAGGGCATGCACATGGGGCCACAACGGGCGCGACTCCTGGGTGCCTGGGTGTCGGGAGCGCGGCGCTTGAGCAAAGTGCAGGAAATTCCCACGCAAGGGCGTTATTTTTCAGTAAATTTGCAAGCAAGTCTCCAGCGAGAGCGCGACTCCAGAGCGTCTGACAACGAGCCCGCTGCAGGCGCCGATTTTTTCGTTAACAGATGTGGGTCGGTCGCGGGTGGGTCGCAAATCAATCGCGGCTGGGTCGCAGATGGGTCGCTGTTGGGTCGCGGGGTGGGTCGCGGAAGGGTCTCGGACTGGGTCGCGGGTGGGTCGCGGGTGGGTCGTGGATGGGTCGTGGGGTGGGTCGCGGGTGGGTCGCGGGGTGGGTCGCGGGTTGGGTCGCGGGGTGGGTCTCGGGGTGGGTCGCGGGTTGGGTCGCGGGTGGGTCGCGGGTTGGGTCGCGGGGTGTGTCGCGGGGGTTTCATCACGGACCCCAATTTCAGCCACGCACCCAGCGACAATGAATGACCGCTCGGCACCCTCACTCTGACTTTAACGTGGGGTCAGGCGGCGGCGGCGGTGTAGGTTTCGGCCCACACCCTGTTTCTTTTTCAGTGTTATATGTTCACCACCGCGCAAAAAAACTTACCCCCGCACGTTTTTTTTTTTTTTTTTTTTTTTTTTTTTCAGCCGGAAAAACTTACTCCGCTGTCGGGGGTGAATTCACCATGCTTACCGTTGAGGGAAGGAATTCAGCAATGCCCCCCCTCCCCCGCAATTCAAAGTTGGTACGTCCATTGAAGACCACTCGGGGGCCCAAAATCGGAAGATCCGAAACCAATATTGCATTTGGGGGAGGGGGGAGTTCGAGCCGTATGTTTTGCATGAGTGTTGCTGGATGGTTTCCGACACCTGTATTCTATGTTCATCACCGTGTAAAAGTTTGTACTTGGGAAAAATTTACTTACTCCGCCGTCGGGGGTGAACTCGCCCTGCTCAGCTTCGTCGCAGGCATCACTCACTCTCCATGTCCTCTGAAACGCACTCCGCGCTGTGCTGTCACGGCGGCGAGCCGCTTCTGCGCTCGGGCACACGCTGCCTCGACGCAGCACCGCCTGCGGAGGGGCTCGCGCCACCCACCTCGAGTGGCAGAAGGGTCACAGACACTGGTAACGCGGGAACTGGAACATGCACGTCACCCGAGGCGGGCCGGTGTTCGACGCCAGGGCTCTTTGAGGGTCGGGGGCGACGATAGGGGTGGTGTGGCGTATACTGTTTGTCCCCGCTTCCTTGGGGAAGCAACGACAAATCTATACACCAGGATCCCGCATGCATCAAAATCTGCTTTCTTGTGCAACTGTCAGCGCAAGGCCAGAAAAAGCGTCGGTGTACAGAGCTTGTTCCCCGAGAAGGGTCACAAGCATTAGTAACGGGTTAGTAGCCGCGCTTTGTTCTTGGGGCGGAGTCTTGTGTTTTTGTCTTTGCGCTGTTCGGAGCGCATTTCTGACACACTTTTTGACTCGGGAAACTAGCTGAAGCACAGCGGATCCGGAGTCGGGACTGTCCCCCCCCCCCCGCCAGGAGGCCGCCAGAGAGAGCCTCACGCAGGCGCTCCTCTCTGGTGAGCTGGAGCGGCTGCTGGCGGCCTTCGCGGCGGTCAGCATGGAGGAGCTTGCCCGCTGGGAGCGCCTTGGGCTCCCCTGGAGAGTCCAAGAACTTCAGACTGGAGGCTTTTACTCTCAGAGTGGAGGAAGGGAACTGCCAGGATGGACGTGAAAAGAAATTTGAATGTATGCCTGGGGCTCTTTCCGCTCGGTTCCCCGTCGCACCCGTGGTCGGGAGGCTCGGGAGGCCCACTCTTCCCCTCCCACCGCGCCATTCCCTCCCCATCGTCACTTCCCGTGCCCCCTTCCGTCTCCAGCGTTTCCACCTTCTCGTCCCCTCCTTTCCCGTTCATTCCTTCACCATCTCATCTCCTGTTTCTGCCCATCGCCTTCACACCATCTCCAACCCCCATTTCCATCGACACCCCATCCATTTCTCTCTCCATCCCGTCCCCCATCTCCCTCCCTTTTTCCTCTCCTCCTCTTCTCCCCTCCTCCCAACCCGTTCCTCGGACAGCGGAACACAGCGCGGAACAAGGACGGAACGACGAAACCCGATCATGCAACGCACAAATATTCTTCAACGTTGAGATCCCCATCTGTGCATCTCGTTTCTTGGCACGCCCCGCTGTGAGTGTCTGTGTGTGAGCGTCTGGGTGTGAGGGCGTCCAAGTAGACGACGGGTCCGACGACGACGACAACGACGACGACGGCAGTTGTGATGAAGGACAGCGACGACAACGATAACAACTCACAAACAGTCGGTGAGCAGGTCCCACCACTCTCCGTCCTATTCCTCCTCCTCCTCCTCCTCCTCCTCCT